GTATCTCCCATTTTCTTGCCAACTTATAATCATTTCGAGATTCCTTGTAAAGAAAATTTATAAAATTAATAAATTGATATTCGTAATATACATTATTCTAATTTTTTACACCCCATCAGGTCAGCAAACTTATTATCTTCATTCAAATTTTACTTGCCTCCTTATACATTTTGAGAATATGGGGGTTTGGTCAACTAATTAAATCAAACCTATTTCTGTATTTGTATATAATAAGTAAAATAATTTTTTTGTGTTTCACACCATGTGTAAAATCAGTCGTGTAACAACGTTTCTTTGTTATAATAGCGACAGCTAATCGAATGAAACCGGTTTCGTGTGAAAATAGATTACGTATTTTCTAATCAGTTGAAAAAATACTGCTTTTATTTGTTAGCAAAAATATTTCAGTTATCACTCTAAGGGCTCTAAAGTAAACCTGTCTTACAATTTTGAATGACTACAAATTTCTTTCCAACAAGCTATTTATATTTTTATATATTGAAATTGCGAGAAGTTTTTTTTTTTTTTTTTTTTACCCCTTTGAACGAAAATATCAAGAAAATTCCGAGTTTTTTTTCATTTTAATTCTACAAGTTCTGTAGAATTAAATGAAAAAAGATTCATCAGATTGTTTAGCTGTCAAACTATCTTCATACAAAGGTTAATTTTTATCGATACGAACCTTTTTTGACCAATCAAATAAATGCATAAATCATTCCTTTTAAAAGATCAAACCACGTTTTGATTTTCAATTCAGGCTTTTTTTTTTCCACTATACACAAGACAAACTTTTTAATGTCAATTCTCATTCCCATGGTACCTGCAATATTTTTCGGTCTTTTTATAGAAAAGAAAAATGATTTATCCCTAAAATATGAGAAAATTTTTTTTAGGAAGTCAAAATTTTTATGATATAGTTTTCTTATTAAACCATTTTATTAATTGTTATTACTTCGTCTGTTGTAGATACTGTTCGAAAAGTGCTGAGTCACATTAATATTGGACTTTCAGAAGTTAGGTGAGAATTCACTAAGTAAATTACTAGTCGCTATGTATCTGAAATTACGCTGCCACTAGGGGGACTGCGGAGAACTGGAAGCGCATCGTGGCTACAGGTGTGCCTGTGAACGTCCTTCTCCGTTATGTCTTACCCGAAAGCTCGATCTAGCCTTGCGCAGAAGTTGTGGTGAATAGGATACATTGGATAATGATGACATTTACTTATTATTATTTTTTTTATCTTATTCTAGTCGCAATAAATATTTAAATTTGGTTGGATCTTATAACAACGATTTTATCTTGGTATATTGCAACGATATAGTTACAGTTGGTAATATTAAGCAATTTGAAAAAATAGTTGAAGCTTATCCACAAAATACCGTGGGTATTATTGTAACATCTCAAAAAAGATACTCATTCAATAGTTCGAAACGTGCAAAGTCTTCAAAGTCTTCAGCTAGAATTTTATTTACGAGTGTTAATGAAATGGCAACTGATATTCCAGTATACTTTTTATTAAGAAAGAATTATCAATTTAATTATCAACATAAACTTATCGAAAGATTCGAAAAATTTGAAAAAAAGATTATAATCTTGTTAATTTTTTTATTACTGATGATGGGATATTCAGTTAGGTAATTATTTACAAATTTCTTAAAAAATTATGATTTATACTTAATGCATAGTTCTAATAATTTATCACAATATAGGTCAGATATTTCTTTAATATTCGATTTTTTTGCACGAGCTTATTTTGCAATATTAAATGTTTTTATGTTTGGTAAATAATTATACTGTGCTACTCATTTATTGATTAGTTTTGCACTTAAAGAGTTATACTAGACATTGTAAAGTTTCTCACAAGTTCTCTTTAACACAAAATATATTATTTTTTATAATAAAATGGTATTCAAACTAACTTTTAAACTTTTTTGTTATCAATTCATAATATATTTTGTTTAGAAATATGATTGAGCTTTTCGATATTTGAGGTGTGGGTGCTAATATTTCATCAAATTTCAATTAAAATTATACATTGAGTATTTTAATTAAAATTAAAATTCTGAAAAGTTGGCTTTACGTTTTTTATTTTTCAATTACAATAAAATATCTATGAATTGAATATTCATTTGAAATTCTGACTTTTCTTAATTGGATCAATATAAATACTATTTATAAAAATAAACCGTGATAAAAATCTATCAAGTATCAACAAAAATCCAATTCCAACAAAAATAGCATAACATAAATTTCTAACTTAACAAAAATGAATCCAACTCTTATTTTAGATTCTGTCTCTGTTACTAAACATCCTGATTATATACTCTTTATGTAACTAAATATTCAAGATTTCTCCAATCAATATCTACTATATGCTTGCTATACAAGATCTCGTACTTCCCTTCACCTTCGGGGTTCTATTATAATTATTAATCTAATATCTTATTATTTAGCTTCTACTATTATTCAGATATTATAAATAACACAGATGAAGTTCAACACCATGTGTTCGCTAAATTATGATACCTTACAGAGCAAGTATCAAGATACGATGATGATTATCATCACATGGCTTCGTCTAACAACTATACTGCTAGCTTATCAAGCATTTTATTTTTTGAATCATGCCTAAATATTAATTTATGTTTATATTACACACCTTTTTAGTAGTACGACATTATGGCTTTGCGGTTTCTGATGATCATGAGAATAGTTTTTTTGTAAAGCTGGAAATATAAAATTAAAGTTCCAAACATAATGATGGATTCTATTAATGTCGGTAAAACTTTTGTAGTGCTACGGAAATATATTAATTTTGCATAAATTTATTTTTTAAACTATTTACTTAATAATTAACTGTGTATCATATAAACAACTCCCTTTGCAATATTCTTTACTCTTGTTACATCAATAAATTCTTATATCAATTTATATTATCTAGACAATTCTGTAAATAATTCATTTTTGTAGCAAAAAATTTTCTTTAATTTTAATATCTTGATTTTTGAATCCCAGTTACATCTCTGCATTTTGATATATCCACTTCCTGTTTTAGGTCTCAAATATCTCGTTTTATATTGCTTAAATATGTCATTATTTGGTATATTAAGAAGTTAATAAATTTATAAAAGTGTTAAAATGAACTTATGATTATATAGAGATTAGACTGTACTGTATAATAAAAGCGTGTTTTGAAATAATAATCTAATTTTATATATGTAAAAACATGTAAAAGTATTATTTTTTATATATAAATAATAATTAAAAATTTTTAAAAACTTTGTAACTGAATTAAATAATAAATGAATGATTGGATGTTCCTGAATTGATTTTAATATTTTAATGTAAAAGCCAACTTTTATGAAATTATGATTGTAAAAATTTCCATGAATTGGAAATTTACATAAAATTCTGATTAATTGTATATAGTACAAAAGAAAATATAAATTTAAAAGTATTTTTAATCGAGAGGCATACCAAATTATGGCTAAAAACAAAAAAATTGCTGAAGAGTCAGATAAACTACTATTTAATAAAGCAATTGAAGATTATAAAAAAGAAAATTATATAGCTTCATATCATCTTTTTTCTATATTTCAAGCTATTCTAACTCAAACCTATCAAATGATGCAAAATTTTGGTTAGCAAAGCATTTTGTCACGGGCAAAGAAGGATTGTCAATCTGGCGCAGTAATCTCGTGATTAAACCGGATATAATATTGGAATTCTAGATCGGCCAGTATTTGAGGCTTACCTGCCGAAGAATAGGAATGATAACCAACGTAAAATCCGAAGAAGAATTCTAAAAAGAAGAACCCAAGATCAAGAAAGAAGATCTGGAAAATAGGTTAAAGGAAGAATTCGTTGGGAGAAAATTATTATTAGAATTAGTATAAGCCCCTTGATATATAATAGCTTCGCTCTGATTCTTTAATGATGTATTAATTAATTCTTTCCCTAAGCCCTTTGAGTTCGTTAGGATAGAATTATCTATAAAAGAGATGGGAATTTGCGTTAGTTGAAGAACAATCCAATGGGATCACCTTTCACAATTTTTTCAAGCAAAATTAATTATAATTCCGGGCAAAATTAGAGATAACTCCAAGCAAAATTAGGCCATTCTAATAAAATCATCATAAACCAATCAGAGAATTTAGCATATCAGATATTTAAACCAAAAAGGCAATTCCCTTTTTGAAATACGCTAAATGATTGGATGGTATTGGAATTTTTTAATACAAAAAAATTTAGTAGTTTATTTAAATAATATCGATATAAAAAAAAAATCATTTGAATTGATTTTTTTAATTGAAATATGGGTGCTATTCTTTTAAAGGATTTGGTAAAAGAATCATAAATCAGTCTTAACCAAGAGTATAAAAATTACAAATTATA